GTCAGGGACGGACCCACCCACCTGCTCCCGAGCTCCTCGGAGGCCAGAGCAGAGGTTGCCACAGCACAGCCACAGCGGCGGCAGGTCACTGTGACCAAGCCCGGAGATGGGGCCAACTGCTGCACTCGCAGGAGGTTTGGGGTACTGCTGTATAGGCAGCATATTCTCCACACTGGCCCCATTACAGGGGCCAACACAGTCCCAGGGGTGCAAAAATCATGGACTATAGCCAGAAACACCAGCCACATGAAAAAGCCCCAGAGAAATAACAAGCAGTAAACCACCTCAACTCTAGAACTGAAGTACCGTCCAGTAAGTTACAGCAGGTAAATAATAAGTCAGACTACAAGGACCATACACAAGGTATTACCTGTGAACAGATGCCAAAATACCTCTGCCTTCGAGCTGACAGCTTGTCACGAGTCGCGCTGAATAATGTCAACATGCAGAACGCAAATTGGCAACACTGGGAAGCCCTTAACTGGACAGCTTATCAGTAATAAAAAACTGAAAAGCAGCACGCAGTTTCAGAAACGCAAGTGTTAGCATCAGCATTAACTCATCATCCAGCTGACAAGGCCAGCAGCCAGGGCTCAGGCTACTGCCCGATGGTGATGCTTTTAGCTCCAGTGCTCTCCGTTCTGTTCTTGCACCTGCTATTGCGTTCACTTGTTGCTACACTTGCATTGTTAACTGTACTAATCACTTTGCATATAAGAGCCTTTCTACTAGCCATAAAGCTTACTGTCGTAACCAGCAAATTACAGCATCTTTAGGAAAAGGTAGTTAGCTGTATGTGGATCAAGGGGTGTAGTGTAGTGGTGCTAACCAGAAGACTAATGTACATCGAGGAGTTAGTGATCCACCTAAGCTGAGATGAGAAGGTGCACCCCTGCTGCACGTATCACCTGGCTGCAGGATAAACTTTGCCAGCTAATCCAAACTGGGGTGCCTGCACTTGGCACCTGGGGATACCACAACCCCTGCAGCTCCCTGGGTCCACCTCTGGGAAAGGGCAATCCTAGGCAGATTGGTCATCATGACAGGGAGACGGCAACATGGAAGCCCAGCCCTGTTCAGGAAAGAGCCAAACTTGCAACACTTCATTTTTGTTTGAATTCTGTTTCCAGACTGAGGCGCCCAAAAACTAGTATTTCTTCCCAGAGTTACTCACGTAAGAGGCATTTCATACTCGCTTTCCTCCCCCTCTGCATGGTTGTGGTTGGCAGCACAGCCAGCCTTACTTCTGTTTCTTGTACATGTGCCACACACAGCTGCTGCCACTTGACAGACACACCTGGACCTAGGATTACATTTTGATTTTATTGAAATACAAAAAGTGCAATCTGTGAAATGTAAGATTGGTGCAGACTAGAAGGAAATAAACAATGTGAACCGTGAAAACCCCAGCCCTGCACCTGATGAACATCAACAGAAAAGAAGGCAGTGAACACCAGCAACAAAAGCAAAGCTGAAACTTTTGCACAGGAGCCCCCATGCATAAAAGAGGAAACAGGGACCAAACTGGCCCTCAGCTCTCTCTCAAATTAGCAAATATTGCCACAAGGCATCCAGATGGCCCCAGCCCCCCTGCACCGCAAAAGCTCTGCTGCCAGTACTTAGCTCGGGCCAGGGAGCAGGGAGTGATCAGAGGCCATTAAGACAGCAGGAGGCTTAGCAGAGGGGAATGGTCTAGGTGCTAAAAAGCAGAGGGTTGAAGTGGAACAAGTCCCCCCACAGGGAGAAATGGCTAATAGCTAACCTGAAAGACAAGCCAGGGAAGAGACCCTTGGGCAGCGCTACAGCAAGGAGAAAACCGACAAAGACCAGCACCCTAATCAGATACTGCCCCCCACCTATACGTGGCAGAGAAACCCAGCCCAGCCAGCACCCTGCCTGTGCGAGGAGGCTGACCAGGCGAGGAGGGACTTGAACCCCCTGGGCTCGGCCGATGCAGGCTGTGGTGGCCACCCACCCAGCGCAGGCTGCCCGCAGGCCCAGGCCAGCTCCTTGCTCAAGTCACAGGAGGGATATTTCAATACAAGGCATTCAGGAGAGAAGACTGCAGAAGCAAAAGCAACCCTGGTTACTGTGCCTGCTCCAGGGCCCCCGGCAGCTCCAGCATGAGGAGCAGCAGAGGAAGGGGGATATTTACACTGGGTCCCTTCCAGGATTTGCAAGCGCTTTCCCACCATGAGCAGTAGCAGCTTCCTGAACACCCTCCAAATCTGCTCCCCTGCAGGCACTGAACTGGAGCAGGCTTTTTCTCCCTGCCTGCAGGGGATGCACCAGTCTCCATTTTGCTAAAAAAGGAAACATTATTTCAAGAATTCACAAAAAAAAAGAAAGAAGAAAAAAAAAAAGCACCGACCAAACTCCAGCCAGAACACAGACACTTTCAGCAATCCCTGCTCTTCCCCTGGAGAGGAGCTAAGCTACCCCAGCACTGCTTCTCTCGCTACCGGGCAGGGAGCGGTCCTTGCCGCTCTGCAGGGCTGGAACGTGCCACCCTTCCCAGGGAGCCGGGGCAGCACGCACGGCCAAGGCCTCGTGCCCCGGCACACAGTCACTTCCCGTTCCAAGCTGCCGACCTTGGGCTTGTTTGTCCCAGGAGAAGCTAGCTGGGTTTGCCTTTCCTCTAGGGGCATATAAGTGAGGCCAGTGTCAGCTGCAGATCGAGTCAGAGCACCAAGTCTCCCCCAATAACGAAGCCTACAACGAGAAGAGGGCGAGCAGATGGCCTGCAGGTAAAGAGGGGCTGCACTGGGCTCCCTCAGCCTCCACGCTCCTCCCAGGCTGTCCAGAAAGCCTTGCGTCTTCAAACACACCCTGGGGCAAGTACACCTCTCTTCACACTGTCCATCCCACTGTCCATCCTGCACAGCACATCAGCTGTGCTAACTTATGCTAGCAGAGATCACAGGTAAATTAGGAGCTGAGTATCTCTACCTCCAAAACATTTATTTGTTACTGCTGTGAATTGCTCAGGCTGAAATAATTCATATCCTGGCCAAACAGGGAAGACTCCTACTGTTGGAAGAGGGAGGCTAAGCAGCCTTGTAGCCTCCATAGGGCAAAGTCCCCCAGTATCTAGAAGGGATCAGACCCAGCCCTCTCTTGCTCCAGCCTTAGTAATGCTCAGTTTCTTGCTCACTGTTCCCACCCACGCATTGGTGTGCCTCCTCCGAGCCAGCTGGCTGGACCTGCGCTGCCCTGCAGAGCTGCCTATGTTCATGCCCATCCCCATTCCAGAGCTTAGTAAAAAGAGCAATTTCCATAGTTCCTGCAGCAGATGTCACTTATTTTGATTAAAACTGGGGAACTGACCTTTGGTCAGTGTTTAAAGGCAGGCTAAAATATTATGAAAAAGCAAATTCTATTTAGCATCCAGTAGCTTTTTAAAAATTAGTTCTGCTTGGTCCAAAAGATTTGTCCCTGTGGCCAGATGCAGCAGGGAGGACTGGCCCAGGCACACAGGGCACAAGATATAAAGATATAACACACCAATGAAGTAAGGCTAGAAGCTCCCTACTAACACCCTGCCAGGCCCAGGCTAAGGAGAGGGATCTCTTTTAGCGGGAATGCTGCAACCCAAAGCCAACAGTGATGCCCTAACACTATTGCAGCTACTTTGGGAAGGTGCCAGGCCCACCCTGCTCTGAGCCTGCCTTGTAGACAACCCAATCTTTCCAGCCATGCCGAGGGCAGACAGGATGCATCTGACCAGGCTTCCATGGTAGGATGGAAGGAAGGTATGAACCAAGAAGACAGGGCAAAGACCCTTGCATGGAATAGCTGTTCCCTCACAGCTTTGGCACATGAGTGCTCAGCACCTGGGCAGAAATTCGTAATCCAGGCCTGGTGCACTCCAGGGTGAGGGTTGGCCCCGGTCCCTAGATCCTCCCTCACGGCCATGCTCTCTGTTACACTGTGCTGGGTAAAGTTCTGCTCAAAGAGACAACTAGCAAGGCAGCCTGTGCCAGTCAGCACAGATACACATGGCTGACAGAGGAGAAGAGGCTTTGTGCTGCTACCATGGGGAAAGGCAGTGATCCGCATAGTGTTCAGCAGTTCAGTGCCACCAGGGCACTTGCTCCCTGCCGTTCAGGCTCACCAGCTGCCAAAGGGCGCCAGCCAACCCCGCCCCCCCCGCCAGGTCTGGCATGAACCTTCCCAGCCGGGCTGGAAATGCTGCTGGAGGGACAAACGCACCTGAGCTGGGTAACTATGGGAGGCACCTCACCCACTACACCCCAGCAAACACTGAATAGTATCTGGAGTGGGTCACCCCAGAGGGGGTTTGGGCTAAATTCAGCTTCCTTGTATTGGAGTCTGACAGGTAATACAGCCCATGTGCCATGAGCCTGTCCTTCACTTGCCCGCCAAAAGCATGGAGTCTAGAGTGGGGTTTGCAAGTGCAGGACATGCTGCTACCTGAAGCACAAGGGGCGCCTGGCTCCCTTTCCTGCTTTAGCTGCCTCTGGGGAAAGGCAGGATGCACGTTCAGTGCTGAGAGATGGCACTTGCAGCAAGAACTTCTCTACCACAAACCCCAGCAAGCCTGCCCTAGCCCAGACAGCCCAGCTGAGGGAAAGGGGGTGAGCTGGGGCTATTAGGAGCTTAAACAAAAAAGATCTTTGCTGAGGAAGGGACCAGGAGGGCAGAAAAACTGCATGTGAGGGAAGGAGGAAAGGAAGGCAGGTCATCTGATAGGGCAGCAGACTGGTGATGAGCTCTGGAGGAGCTGCACAGACTGGCAGGTGGGTTAGGACTCCACTCGGAGCAGCTGGGAGACCGGTTCCCCTCCCCATCCAGAGCAGCAGGTCTCCTGCTTGCTTGCTTATGCACTTTCTCCACCATCTCCACAGCCCTCGCTCTGCTCATCACCCAGAGGATCAATGGTCCCTTTGCACTGGAGACAGTTTGGTCACAGCTCCAAGACAAGGTCGGAAAGAAGGTGGGAAGGTGGGCACAGTGTGCTGGAGTGGGCTGGCCTGCATTCAGGCCTCCACATCCTCAAAGAGCTCCTTCTGGTGGTCCAGCAGGAACTTGGTAAAGGTATTGATGGGGTTGATGGCTTTTAGGGTGATGGCTACATCTTTGGCCCACAGCAGATTTGGGCCAAACACAACTGCCAGGTTGGTGTTTGTCATCTTGTTTCTGTCACTGTGAGCAGAGACCTATGTGGGAAGGAAAGAGACCATTGTGAATCCTACAGAACGACACGGCAGCTGTCCCCTACCCTCCCCAGAGCCAGAGCTGACAAACTCCCAAGGGCAAATGGGAGGAGAGAAGCTGAAGGCCCAATGCCAGAATACAGCTGGGGGAAACACACATGACATCCAGCATTCAGGAGGCGAGGAGCAGTATCTTGCCATTTGCCACTATGGCTTAACCACCAGCCCATATCAGAACAACAGGCCCAAGAGCACTGTCAGCCAGTATCTCTACAGTCCAGATCACCACTCAAACCAAAATGATCTTCCCTCTTGCTAAGAATAGCCTTGCGGTGGCTTCCCTGACAGCAGAAAATTCTGTAGGGTGGATCCGAGACCCCTCTTCTAGTCTAATCTTCTATTCAGATATTTTACAGTTGTACCTCCACCCTAGGGAGCTTTCAGCCTCCCTGGTACAGACCACACAGGCTTAATGCCTGCCTGCACCCTCAGTGTTATGAGAATCAACTGCTTAGGCTAGTTCATCATGATCATTCTTGATCTCTGTATAACGAGAACATAAGGTAAAGAAAGGCAATTTCCTAGCTTCAAACTCATTTCCTCCCAAAGGAAAAGAGGGAGCAGGCAGTCAAAAAGCTGACACAAGGCACTGGCAGCTGAACTAGAATACAACTGCCCACCTTTGGAGCCACTCACCTGCACCAGAAAGGCTGTCAGTAAACGGAGCACTTGGTAGTTTTCTTCAGGCAGAGTCTGGAGTGTTTTGCGAACAACATCCACACGATTCATGTCCTCCACATCTAAAAATCAAGAGAGACAGGACAAGCAGGTCCATGAAGAATCCTCAGCACCCACCCTGATGAAAGCCCTGTTTGCAGTCACAGGGCTGCAGGACTGCTCCCCCCAAAGACATCTTTGCTCTTGGCCAGTGCAACATACAGGGAGTAGCACACTCATGTTACAACTCACTCTGGAAGCTGACAACATGGCTGTAGAGGCCAAAAGTGAGGAGGGGCTCAGGTAGCTCCCTCAAGAAGGTCTTGAGAATCACAGCAGGGAGGTGGACATCTTCATACTGCTGGAAATCTACAGGCACACCTGAGAAAGTAGAGCAGAGACTCAGTGCTCACTGGCCAAAGCAGGACCTCCTCCAGACAAAGAATGGGACATGGTGGTCAGAGCCCAGAACTAGGGAAGAAGTATTTTAAAGAATACAGAGAGGGTATTGAAGCACCGCATCTTCTAGCGGAGTGGAAAAATGTGTCCTAAAAGCATATGCAAAGCACTGCTGAATCCAGCACTACATCTTTAGAAGTCATCAAATGAAATGGATGACCAAGTTTCTTCCTGGTCATCTTCAGTCCCTCCGGTATAACCAGACTAAGATGGTATATCCCACCCTGAGAAACAAGGAAATTTTCAGGAAGGAAAAGGGCAGCGAGGGGAAAGTGAGTGAGAAGGAATATGCTTTCCACACAGCAGAAGTATCAGATGCTTCTCCCTTGCAACTCAAGTCATACCCTGATGGGGCCTCACCTAGAGGACTATCAGAGGAGAGGAGCCATGATGGACTAGTTCCAACACAGATCCAGTTGGATGGTAGTAGTTAGGGAATGAGAGGGGCTCTACTGAGTTTGGGCACTTACCCATGTTGTATTTTTGCTGGACCTCCCTGACGACCTGTGTATTTGCTGATCTCCGGAAAATCCCCTCTGTAGCAAGAGCTGTGAAGTGAGAGCAGATGGAGAAGAAAGATCATTGAGCCATATGAGAGTCTCTAAAAATGCTGGTCTTAACAATCATAAATCCATGCTGTGGGGCATTCAGACAGATGTCAACAAGTCCCCTTTGCAGAGTACAGCAAGTCTTTCCGCTTCCACTACCAGGCAAAGGATACAAGGAACATTTTGGTACTCTTATACAAGTGGGAGTATGGACAACTGGAAGAGGTCTCCTAAGCCCTGCACAATCTCTCTTGAAGGCTAACTCACCTGGTTCAGGCCTTTACACCTTATTCTAGACTACTGTTCTTCTTTATCTTACCACACTCTGGATGGGAACTTGGGTGGAGGAGAGGCACTGACATGGAATTAAGAGGGGCTGCAGCTTCTCCTGAACACTTACCATGCTCCTGCAAATGAGCAATGGTGTCTCTGACCACCAGAGGAACAGGAGACTGATCAGGGCTCTTCTCCCTGAGACTGTGGGAAGAGACAAAAGGTTACAAATGAATGGTCCTCCCTGCCCTGCATGCAGCCCCTGAGTCCTGAAGTTGCCCACATAAGCCCTATCACATAGGATCTTGCTGTCCCAGTGCCTGGTTCAGCCATTATTCCAGCCTTCTCTCCTCTTCACCCATCATGCTACATCATTCACTGGAGCAAGTATGAGCTCATCCCTACACCACAGGAATATTTCTCTATCTTCTGTAAAAATCATAGTCTGTAGACGTCAGGGCAAAGAGGTTCCCAGAAGGCAAGGCTGCTAGTTATGAATCAGGTGAAAAGGGTTAAGCTTCCTTTTTCCTTCCCCATAGGAGCAAGGGCAGAAAGAAGCTGAGACACATGAGAGAAATACGTATCAGTTAAGTTCACCCACCCCACTCCTGTAACAGAAGATACATCAACCCAATGGCTGTCAGGGAAGACCTAGTGATGCCAAGGTGTTTGCTGCCACCCTCACATTCGATTGTCTATACTGCTTGATAGCATGGAGCTGTTCACCCCTCTCAGACTACTAACAAGCTCAGGCACACAGCACCATGGGTGTTACGTTTGGAAATGCTGTGCTGAAGCTGGGGAATGTGTTCCCAGATTGCTTCAGAGGGTCTGTCTGGCCACACAGTACTGGCTCCTCCTCATTCCCCAGGGAGCCAAAATCACACTCAAAGTTAAAAATACCTTCAACACTCAGCCAGTATCACTAGCTCTTGCTAGTGTCCGTGTTTGCCTGTGTCACCGTGCAGGAATGGGGGTTGGCAATCGGTACAATGGTGAATAGAAGTGCTCTTAAAATAGAATCTATGATATGGACTAAGAAACAGATCTGCAGCACTGTTCAATCAAAATAGCATAGCCCAAAAGACACCTCCACCAGCCTCCAACAGACTTCCTTTGCTTAAAGGACATTTCTAGTGCCATTAAGTCATCCCCGTGGCCCTTATTTTACTTCTCCCTTAGTGACCCTTAGGTGCAGAAACAGTCTTATCCTAATTTAGATACAATCTAGCCAGGGAATCAAGAGTGTGGAACTGAACTGAGTCAGTCAGGATCTGGACATGAGCGCAGAGTTCCTCAGAGGAATGATTAAAGCTTTGTAGGATATCCAGAGATACTCACTGCTGGAGTGAGACTCCAAACTGCTGGTTTGGCAGCGGTGGGCGCGGGGGTGTTGGCTTCTGGGGCACTTGCGAAGGTTTCTGCAGGGATCTCAGATATTCATCATATCTGTGGCAAAACACAGACTAGTAAAAAGCCACTCCACCTCCCAGAAAAAGCATGAACCCAGCACTGCACGTGACCCACCTACACACCCACTGGTAACAGCTCCAGTCTAGCATGGTTGATTCCATGCAAAAACAGGACAGGCAGCTCTGGAGCACAGAGGCAACAAGAGCAAACATCTGGTTGCCAGAAAAAAAGCAGCAAGAAAGGAATATCTATCTGGAATCAGGAGCTGGAGTAGCTGAGGACGACAGCATGCACAGGAGGCCAGGACAGCACTGCTCATGATGAGACAGTTGCACGCATGTGTGAGGGACAGGGAATCAATCTGGTAGGACCAAGATCGTGGCAACTTTGGGAAGCCCCAAAGAGAAGCTGAACTGTGCAGAGTGAGCAAAGCAGGTGCCCAGTTGCAGCAGATGCACACCACAAGCTCCAGGTCAGTGTTAAGGTCAGCAGCTTGCAGAAAGCCCCTAAGGGGTGAGTGGAAGAGGCAGCACTGGTGCTCCACTGGAGGAGGATTTTTAACTCAAGGACAGAACTGAGCAGTGGGACCAAGGACACACAGGAAGGAGCATGGAGAGATACACTAGTCTTTCAGGCAATTTGTCACCACCCCCTCCAAAACCACTGCCCGAGTGGAACAATCTCTTCCTCCCCTTGCCATTCGTCCAGAGAAGGTCCCTCTCACAGAGCCCTAAGTAAATGTGAGACAGGCAGCATTCTCACTTCAGCACTTGGCTTGGGATCCCCAACTGTTCCAACTTCACATACTCCTCCAGCTCACTAAGGAAGTTCACATAAAAAATCTTTCGTCCAAACTTAAAGCTGAAAAACAAGAGAAAAGTAGGTATGTGAGGAATCAGGAAATCCAGTATCGGAATGGACTTCTTACAGGCAAGAAGAGCAGGGGTCTGCAAGAGACATCAGTGGGGCAAAGGGGCAGATATGGCTGAGCAGCAGAGATGTCACCCACATAGCTCTCCAACTCCATATATTTTACCAGGAGATGCCAAGACTTTCAAAGTCACATTAGAAGCCCTAGCAGCAGCAGGCTCCCTAAAACACTGGATTTCTCCTTCCTAAGTTCAGCAGTAGGCTGCAGAAAGTTTTGTTGTCAATTGTTTTACAGAGTTAGGATTTCAGCATCAGCACAATGAATTAAATATCATTTAGACTGATGCTTTCACTTCCTTTTTCATTATTAGCAGAGCCTGCAACACTTTACTTCTACTTGGCTGGATAGAAAGGGAACAGCACAGAGCTACAAACTCTGTAGGTTCCCAAAGCAGTACTTCTTGTGTCTGAATATTTCTGAGCTCAGAAACAGGAGGAGATAGCATAGGGTGAGAGACTCCAGGGTAGGCTCGGCAGCCTGGGCTCATCTTGTGCCCCACTGAGAATGCCCCATTATTCCCCTGCAGTGTGAGGATGTGGGTGAGCCTCCTACAGTGCTTCCTACCTGATCAGAGGCTTGAAGAGAATCAGCAGGGTCTTGATGAACATGGTCGGGTGCACAATATACAAGGCTTTGATGTTCTTCTTGTACCTGCCGAGAGAAGCTAAGTAAGGATGAGCTGCACTTTAAGCAGAAGAACCAACCTTTCCACAAGATTACGGCACCCTGGGTGCTCTGTTCCTTTTGCACTGAGCCTCACCACTCCCCAGCATTCACAGCCTCTGCTCTCCCATGCTTCGTAGCTGCGTCAGGCCACTCAGCAGCCTAAGGGCATGCTCTACTGTATTCCAGAATTCACCAAGAAGCAGTGAGCAGCCTCACCAGGAAGCAACAATTATACCATGGGGCTGACACACTTGCACTGAGTCCTGGTTTTGCTGCTTGCCTGTTGGCCTGAAGGATGTAACTACAGAAGGAGCTGTTCATCCCATGATTCAGCTTGCATTAAACAACAACCCTCCTCCATAAGCGGCAGAAATAAGCGATAGTAAATGATAATCACCAAGCTACATGGGGGGCCTGGGGAAGATCTGCTGTTAGGCTACAGAACAGCATGTTATATCCTTGTTTGCTACAGCCTTACTCACTTGCGATCAAATTCCCTGTAGGCATCCCGCAGCCAGCTCAGGGATGGCTTGTTCTCACTGGTCAGGCCATGGTGCAGGTACACCAATGTGTAATCACTCTCCACATACTGGTCCAGTGTGAATTTCAGGTACCTGAGAAGACACAACTGCTGAACTCACTTCCACACTCTGTCACAGAGAGGCTCTTCCTCCCTCCAGGACTCACTTTTGTGTGCCATAACAGAGGATTTGCATCCCCAGCAATGGAGGTAAGTACTTTAGCTAATGCAGATAGATCTGGCCTCAGGAATCCAGCACCTGGGAATTATGTCAGGCTTAATAAGTTAACAGCAGCCTCCTAAGACACTACTCACCCCAGCAGTTTCACATGATCAAGCTGATGACTTGGGGGCATCCGGCAGGCACTGAACAAAATTACTTTCCTTCCATATTTGTCATCACCTGCAGATGAAATGCCAGAGATTACAGGGAATTTAAGGACTACGTTGTGGCTGTGGCAGCAAGGGGTAAATAGAGAATGGGAAACCACCATAACAAGGCAGAAGTCTGGATTGCCACAGCTGCCAGCAAAGCTAAACTTTATTTTCAGCAGAGTTACCACAGGCCTAGTATGGAAGCAGAAACCTGGCAAGTCAATGATGTGAATGGAGAACAGAGTCCATGCTCCAGCCCTGAAAGAACGGGAAGGACTGGAAGCCAGGATGCCTTGGGGCACGTAGGGATGGAGGCCTCAAGCACAGAGCAGAGTGCTCAGAGCATTAATCCTGCAACGCTCCCCTTAGGCACTGCTCCTGATGCATATGTACCCAGGGAAAACTGCCCCTCACAGGCACAATAACCACTGCTTCCGTCCTGCACACAGTCCCAGACTAACTGCTTGTGGTCTGGTGCATTTGTTTCTTGCTTCACCTGAAGCTTAGTCCTGCAAACAGAACAAAGCCATTTCATACCCTGGAAACCAAGAAATTCCTAGAAACAGGGCAGTCCCAGCCACATCCCAGAGATGAGAAGCAAGTATTATCATAAACCTTTTCTACAGATGGACCAAGTAGCTGCTGGATTCTCCAGGGGGATTGCAGAACAAGCTGTTTACTGCTTCCTAGATTTTCCATCCACAAGAGATATTTTTCCAACCTGAGCTGGAAGGAGCTGCAAAGTCCAGGGAAACAAAGCATTCTATGTAAAAACCCAGCAGAAAACAGTCCACATCGCATTGGAGCCAAATAACCCAAAGCACCCTCATCTCAGGGAGGACACTCCCAGCCACCACTTGAGGCTTCAGAAACAACAAGCCAAGTTTTCCCCACAGCAAGTCTTCATACGTCAGTGGACTCCTGCCAGCAGAGATCTCAGCCCCATGAACAAAACCCAAGCAGATGGGCATGGACAAGCTTAGAAGACATGCTGGAGAAATTGATAGATTTAGATAAGTAAGAACCAGGTTGCAAATCTTTTGGACATACCGAGTTTAAGGGAAAGTCTGGTTGTCTCCCAGACACAACACCCAATCCATAAGGATGACTTGCTTTTTAGCACCAGTGGAGATGAAATGGTTCCTTTAGTGTGAAGGGTTAAAGTCTTCCCATCTTTCTTGCTACTCACCCTGCTCCAAGAGCTTGTTTTCTTGTCAAGCAGAAGGAGCATGGAGCAGCGGAAGGGGCTACTGAGGTTATACTCAACAACACCCTCCATCCTCCCCTACAGCACAACAATCTCATACAGACCACAGCACAGAAAAGCAGCAAGGATCACTACTTACGCAGGACAGCCCTGCCATACATTATCCCTCTTGAAATGTATCCTTTTCCCCAAACTGATTTATAATATTCAGAGCATGCAGCCATTTTCTCACCTTTGCATGGGCTCTGGCCCTCGACTACCGCTTGGTTACACTTGCCGTGCAGCAACTGAGATCTCAAACTGAACCCCAGAACGGCAAACCTGAGGTTTCTGGGAACACTGCCCGTTAGTAACAGATGACCACTTGGTGCTGCAAATGGCAGCCAGAGAACTCACATATACCAGCCATAACATTAAGATGCCACTAACCCTCTTTTACCCCCCATCCTGGCCAGAAAAACAGATTCTCTTGCTACTTGTTCACTTACATTTTTCCCTCACGAGTACCATTTTCAAGTCACTCACCAGACAACACAAGAGACAGAATTTACTGATGCGCACAAGCCAGAACCTCTACAAAAGCTAGGGACACTGAGGCAGCACTAGGTACAGACCAGGAAAGGGGTGGCACAGGCCATCACATTGACATACACATGCGGAGGTAAGGGGCAATTAGGGAGGTCGCATGACCCAGAATGCAGGACTAGGAGAGAGTGATGCAAGGCTCATCTGGAACAACCAGATACAGTCACAGCCAGGCCACAAGACCAACATCACATTGCATATCCCACGGTAGCCCACTCTCTGCCTAGCCCAGAATTTCTTGGTAGCTTTAGGACTATAAGCTTTAGGGCTGGGTCTAATGCACACAAGTTGTCTATAAAACAAAGGTGCAGGCTACAAAGTCCTGGGCAGGGAATATGGCATATTGTGACTCTTCCCAGTGGTCTTGAGCCACTCATATGTCTCCACCTGGAGGACAAAGGGTCCTGCCTGTACAGAGCAGCAAGAAGATGGTAGCATCTGAAAATCTGTTGAGTTTTGTAGCAACAAAGGAGAATGGTCAGGAAGACTACAGGTCTTTGCAGATCATAGCTCTGTGCTAAAGTCAGAATAGGTGCTATCTTCAGTTAACAGAGAGGCTGCATTTCACACCAGAGTGGATGGTCTGAGGGCCAGAAGCAGATTGCAAGCTTGATCAAGGCAGGCCTTGGTTGTGAAGAACTGCAGTACAGCACCATGTTCATGAGATGTTGTGGGTGGCCACACACTCAGCTCAGGCTCCTGGGCACTGATTTTCAGACCTGACAAGTCAACAGTCAGGAAACACATAGCTTAAACACCTTCCTCTGGAATAACATGAAAGCCTATGGCAGGGCCTATGCAAAGTCTAGAATCTTGTTCCTTATATAGCCTTGGTGAAAAGGTCTGGGATCGCTGGTAAAGAAAAAATTGACAATCCATAATTCTGCCAAAGGGGAGATGGCATGTTTCCCCTGGATAATTTCCAGGGCCAAGAACACCAAAATATAATCTACAGTCCCCTGGATGACTGAAAAAGGAGTGGCCCATTTTGCCTTCCAAATCAGAATGAATTTATGCATGAGACCTACACAGGAACCAGCATGCCCATTACCGAGTTGTGGGTTTCACTCCAGTTCCATCATACTGAGCAAAGCTTGTCAACACAGACCCTTTCAAAACAACCAACCGCCAATCTTGTTTCCACCTGACATATATCAGATCAGTCTGGTTCCTCCAGACATGACAAAATTCAAAATTCAGCATCAAAGCTGGACAAACAGTGGTTCCAATTTATAAACAAGAACCTAAAGCCCATTCCATGCATTCCTGGCTGTTGGAGGAAACTGCCTCCAGGTGGCCTCTCTGCCTCTGACCAAACAGATTCTTATCGCGTTTGATCTTTCCCAGATGCTCCATCCCTTGTACTGTTTGCTTTCCTGTTTGCAATATTAATCTTATGTATCTAGGTTTTCACCCCTTGTTTGCAATTGCAAATAGCTAAAGTTTCCATTGAACACAACTATAGACCATGAAGTAATCACTCAGCTTCTCAGGCTGTCTCCTACCTCTCCCAGATGAGGAATGCTCAATAGTTAACAACAAACCAATGAAGAAGCAATTATATACCATCAGTACTCACAGAGCACCCCAACAATGTGCATACCTTTGTGAGTAAGTTCATACATAAAAAATATTTTCAGTCTACACTGGAATTACACTACCTCCCTGTAGGAAGTAATTCAGATATATTTTTTTAAACAACAAAGAGCAAGACAGTAGTCAATATGCAAAGCCTCTCCAGTCAAGACAGCTGCTCATCTAAAGAGATATTAACTTGTAGCACTGATGGACATACTAATTCTCCTGAATGTTGTTGTGGCACTTTTAAGGCCCAAAATCAGTTTTTCCTCTCACCCGAAGAGCAGTGTTTCCAGTGCACTTCTGAGACAAGGGGCAAGGAACATCACTGCTGTGGTTCCAAGCCATCAGCGCAGAACCATACTTCTAAAAGGGCTGAAGTTTAAATACTGAGGCTAATGTTCCAGATGGGAACCTGCAGCAATACAAACATATCGGAGCAGAAATTCATGTCGAGGTAGCAGTACTGTCCTGAGACAGGACTCTCTATTAAATGAACCTGTACAGCCAACATGGAAAATACATGCTTGACTTGCAAATCCTGCTATGTATTTCTAGGTATTTCTCCTGAAATACATCCATTAGCCTTTATGCCATGATTAGAGGCTGTCATACTACTCACTGGCAGCATAACTGCAGTCCAGGGATCCTGGTCATTCCTACCTTCATCAGGAAGCCTCGACTGAGGGCCCACCTCGATGAAAGATTCAAATGAGAATATCCTGGTACTTTGATACTGAGAAAATGCAGGCAGATAAAACTTGCTACCAAAAGCCAGTGTTATTGGTAGAACACCAACATTAACAGAGTTCAGGGTCAAGGAAAGGATACCACTACATAATTCTGGAAGATTACTATGCAAGTTTCACAAAGCTTAGGACATTTATCAGAGCCACTGTCAGTGAAAAACTTCTCTAATGTAATTTCAGGTTCCTGCCGAGCTTATGACACAGCTGGGCAGTGTTTAAGTATAGTAGATTTTAGTTGTCTGCTGAATTCCAAAATGGATTTAGGCCCCTCAGGAAAAGAAGGTAAGGAACTCAAAATAGAAGTATTTTAATACATGACATCTTCCACCTAGATATTCCCAATACCCAAACACTGCCAGAATCATAAAGCCTTACCAAGTGACTACAGCTCTAACTGATACAAAATATACTAGAGGGTCAGATTAAAGAACGCAAAATGGGAGGATGCCCAAGAGCATGGCAAATGGGGGAGAAGAGCCCATGTAATGAGGCAGCAAGGATCAGCATTTCCATGGACTGTGCAAAGGTCTTGGCCTGCTGTTCAGAAACAGCAGAAAGAATTTCACACCAAAAGAAGTTTTCATCTACATCAAGAAGTGTGAAAGCACCAGCAGCCAAATTCTTAAGGCTTGGGATTGAAGTCCAGAGAGTATTAACAAACGCTCAGCAAGCACAGAGCAGTCTAGCGCAGCTTCAGGCTAGAATGAGGAACAAGTTACCAAAACACAACATCTCTGCAGCCAAATGCAGAATAAATAGATAACAGTTGCTTTCAGCTGGAGAATCCAGTTTAAGTGCCAGCTACTTAGCACGTGAGTGCAGCAGCAGATCGTATGAAGGAATAGGAAGCAATCCTAGGATGAACTTCCAAAGCACCCAAGACAACGAGGTAAATCTGAGTTCAAACTG